ACAGAGGGTTCAGTTTGATGTCCTGGACGTGCTGACCCATAATCTGACGATTATGTGGAGGGATTTCATTAATCTGTCGGTTTGAAAAAATTTTTTTCCATTAATCTTGTACAGACTGTATGTTCGAAATCCAAAAAACATGTTTTCGATGTATTTTTGCCTCCTGATTATGAATATGACAACAGAAATTGGCGCTCGGCCATATCGTCGCCGCTATTTTGAAAAAACATCCTAAAAACTTGATTTTTTAAAATTTTTCTGCATTTATTTTGAAAGATACAAATGTGCTGAAAAAATGGTTGAACAAAAAATGCAGAGTCACACGGAAAAAATGAAATGCTTGAATCTACTATTCAAATAATAAGATAATGTTCCAACGAACTTTTGTAGTTGATTTTACTATCCAAATAGTAGCTTCAACAAAGTAGATAGTGCAGCTTACTATGTTAATAGTAAAACCAACTAAAAAACGTTCGTTGGCGCATATCTTACTATTTAGATGGTAGATTCAACAATTTCGTTTTTTCCGTGCAGGAAATTCTGGGAAGATGCATGTATATACAAATTATATACACCGTTCTCATATTTGTGGTTGAAACCATATACATTAAGAACAAGTTAAAATAACCGATACATAAGTAACCTAGAAGTCCCTTAGTCTTCATCGTCAGTGGTAAATTCATCATCTTCATATTCAAAGATCGATTCGATTTCGAAAGGAAGAGACGCGCGGAGCGGGAAGTACACAGTTCTCAGCCGCTGCGCGTACCGCACTTTATTAATGATTTTGGCCACTTCGGCTTGTGCAAATCGTCAGATTATATTATTCCCGTGATCCTTGAATAATTTCCTTCAAAATAAAAAAAAATTTAACCGCGCTCGAGAAAATCCATGTCACGTTTTTTTTTGCAACTTTGTGACTCTCCCATTTCCTTACGTCACGCTGAAATCGTCAGATTATTGAAATGTACACTTTTCTACATGTAATTAACACACCATACCTTAATCTGACGCGCTCGAGTAAATCCCAAAATCCCCGGTTGGCCTCCCCTACTATAAGGTTGGTTATTTTTAATTTGATTTTTCTTTTAAGATCCAGCTGACGACAATACGAAGTATTACGAGATGACAACTTCTGGCGGCGGCTTTCGGCAGCGGCGTAAGACGGAGCTAATGGAGGGCTGACTTGCGGCAACAACATCCAGCAGCAGTTATCAATAATATAACCTTTTCCTTTAAGAAGACCGCCTCGCCCGAGGTTTTTGAGCCGCGGTTTTTCCTCGGGACGGTGGGCAAATGCCGAGGCGGGGAG